TCTATCTATCTTATTTTGGCATTTGACCAATTAGATGAGTCCTTGAATGATATATTACCTACTATAAATTAAGTTGAAAAAAGTCACAAAAAAAGCTAATTGAAAAGTTAAAAAGTAAAGTTAATAAGCCTAGTTAACAATTATATTTAGGTTTATAAACAAAAGAATTTAAGTGCCAGCATCAGCAATTATGCCTCTAAGGTTATGTTGTGCAAAAAAAATGTGCTTTTTCACTCTTAGTGTTTTTCTTGAATTTCTTATAGAAGCAGTTTTGTTATTTTTCTTAATATATTCGGGCAAGTTAGCATCTCTTGTTATTACATTGACATAAATTTTTGTGATCAAAATATCCATATTTTTTGAATGTTACAAAAGCAATAAAATATTGTCCTGGATTCCAATAACACTATTGGCTTCAATTTTGATTTTTAAAGGATTGCACTGAGTGCCCTATAAAGGGTTAAAACTTGGGAGATCTTTTTGTATGCAAATTCCGGCTTTAAACTTCTCCACAACAGCATTTTGGACCTGCCTGGTGTATTCCTTGTTCTTCATGATATATTATCATGAGTCATTGAGTTCAACATTGGATCTTTCAGTGATCCTCACTGCAATGGAAAGATTTTGCTTCACTGAAAGTAAATAGTTTGATCTTTCTAAAAAATTAGCAAAAATTCTTCACTACACTTTTAAGGCAACCTGGGCTTCCATCGCACCTTAGCAGCACCAAAGGCTGTTTTTTTCTTAGTTTTTTATTTTTTAAATAAGTTCATCCAATAAATTTGGTTTCTCTTCATGACTGTATTCTGATTGTTGATTCTTCACTAAGAATTACAATTATATCTTTATGTTTGAAGCCTAAAAAGAGGCAAAGGGTTGAAGGGGGGTTCAAGGGGGTGAAATACTTTCACATGGCACTATATCTATAATAATTATGAGCCCAGCCCAGGCAGCCAGCTGGCAGCTTACCATCAGCCTCTTGGAAGCTTCTCTAATTAACACTCTCCTATCCAAGGCCGTCAGTTAATGTTTGGCTCACACTAAATGTAGTGGGTGCAGTGCAGCTCTGGTGGAGGCATTGCAAGGATCTCAAATCATTAAAATCAATGACTACAGACACTTTAGCCATGGTGTGGTTGGGTTGCAGTTACTAAAGTCTTGCATATAAAAAAAGAGGGATTCCACAACAAGGATATTTTGGCCGGGCATTGCAGCTGTCTTCACATCCAGCTCAATTTCACAAGAAAAACAGGACAAATCAGACAAAAAAGTCTCACTGAATTTTAGAATAATATCCCATCAACCTACACATAATAATAGCCCATCAACCTACAATAACCTAAAAAAAAAGGCAAAACAGTAACACCTGGAAACGAAGGGGCTACTGGGGAATAAGAAGGGATTTCAATGTACACAGAAGAGTTTTGCCTGACAACTCGGGGAAAGTGCATGAACACACATGATCTTAATCTGTTTTGAGTGCTGTTTCTGCAGCCGGAAACGCAGCTGGGTAAGCCTGATCGCAGCAGTCGGTGTAAGTGACAGCTGCACAGCAGCCACACTCTAGAGATGGGTCAAGCAACATAGATGCATCAAGCTTGTAATGCAAAATCTCATGTTGTTGCATGAATCGCTTTAAGAAATTTAAATGACTGAGCTATTTGAATCTTACTGACGCACTAAACAGTATTTATCAGCGTATCTGTCAACCAGATACATCTGCTAAAAGAATCTCTGATCTGATAAAAAATATAACAGATATTTTCTATTGAAAGAAAGTTATGAAATACTACAATATAACACATAATGACTTAAAACATATACTAGGTAATAAGATCAGTGTTAATTGTCTTTCACATAGGCTACCTGTAGGGATTTAAAGGTTTGTTCTCTACAGTCCGGCTTTTTCAGGAGACATTCCCCTCCAGTCAGGCTCTGTAAGCTCTGAAACTCAGAGAAATGTGTTGCAAAAAGTCTGTTTTGCAGCAGTTCGGTTCTGAAATGTCAACCATCATGACTTATCCTTATGGAGATCCTGGCCATTGAGCCTAGCGCCTTGGTGTTGTCCTCTTCCAATGTGAACCCCCGGGCAAGTTTCTGGAAAGAGAGAAAAATCCTCTGTGTTGTGTTTTTTTCTGTTATCAGCTCCATGGGGGGCCAAGGCACACCTATGTGGAAGGGGTCCTCACAGCTGTTTTATGAGCAAAACTGCATCATCTTCTCCAATGATCATGTGAAGATGAAACATGGAAATTGGTACTCAATGTCCAACACTATTATCACGGTTTATGGCGCAAAAAAGGGGCGTTCCGGTGTTGGACGTTCCAGAATGAAATGATAGATTTCAGCAATCCAAACTTTTGCAGCTTGACACGTAGAGTCAACCACGTGCAAAGCTAATTCAGGTGTTTTTTGGTAGAAAGACACTACATGCAAGCCATGATCACTTCTGTAAAGCTGTCTGCATATGAAAAATAAATAAATAGTAAGTGTTCCTAATGCTACGGAACTGAGTGCATTAGGTTTTGACGTAAACTTCTCTCTTAAAAAAATATATAAAAATACTTTTTCATCTCACAAAAGCAAATAAAGCCAATTTGCTCTCTAGATTGCAAAAAAGAGCAAAGCAGATAAACAACCAGAGCACGGAGCTTTTGTAAAGCTTCAACGCATCTTAACCAGCATTTGACCCAGCATCCAACTTTCAGCATTTAAGCCTTTCACAATATTTGTTTGTGAAATTTTTTTTAAAACAAACTAGGCATTCACAGAACAACTGAATTGTAAGTTTAATGTATTTTCTGATCAACTGACTTCTTAAGGCATTCTTATGGCTTTCTCAAAATTGATAATTAGGGAAACCTGTAAAGCACACAAAGACAAAGTCCCCTTATTCCAGTGAAAAAATGTGTTTGTGGCCGTAATTTCAAAAATTTCAATGGGTTTGAATACTTTTTTCAAGCCATATAGAAAGAGAGATTCCATGAAAAGAAAAAAGTATAGTTTCAAAGATTTCCTATGATACCTCTTCTGCAGATTAAAACAAATGACTATAATAATGTGTTAAACTAGTCATAATTTTGGATAATGGGGGACTTCAGTTAGTCATACACCAACACTGTGGGAAGCAGTGTTTCAGTATGCCATTAAAGTTATTGAATAGGGTTAATTGTTACATCTTCTTCTAACATTGTGGTCTTGGAAGTGGAAACAGAATGTTGATCAGAGGTCTGCCCAGGATGGAAATAAGTTAACTGAAACCAACCTTTTCAACTTAATATGAAGTCATATTTTATTTCAATTTTTCTGCATTAATCCACACTCAGTCCCCCAGAGGATGGTGTAGGTAGCAGTCATCCAACATGTATTTCAAGCAGGGCCGAGGTGTAATAAAGGCCCCCAAAAGCTCTTGGATTCTCCTTACTTGTGAATATATTTCACGCTAGGGTGAAATAAATTTCTGTCTACCCACCGAGCGTGTGGGTGTTTTGTGTTTTTATCCCCCCAGGAGTTACGGCCCACCATGAAACAGTACATAATTATGGCTTCACTTGTCCCTTCGCTCTCTCCTTGTTTGTGTTTGTTTGTTCAGTGCCTCCAGTGATTCTGGTATACCCAGAGACGCAGGCCCAGGAGCCCGGAGTTTCCGCCAGCCTCCACTGCCATGCCGACGGCATTCCGAATCCAAAACTTGTCTGGCTAAAGAACGGCATGGATCTCCAGCTCAGCTCCTCCTCACAACTTTCCCTTATAGGTGAGGAGCTGTTGATTATTTGTTTTTGTTTTTTTATAAAGTGCTGTCTGTAATTGTGTTCAAGCAAATACTATATAGTACCTGTTTTTTTGTTTTTGTTTTTTTATAAACTTTTTGTGTCAGCATTGCATAAATCAAGAAAGTAGAGGTGCTTAAAAATCATGTTCGATCAAAGAAAACATCTTTAGGCTTTATTTTGCTTTCAATTGATTGGGATTTTATGTTGCAAGGTTCAACTTAACCATTTCAGTGGGTTACTTTTTCTCCACTGACGGCACAAACTTATTTAAAAGCAATAAGATGCTAGATCCAGAATGGCTAAAAATAAAAAAAAGTATTTTATCTGAATGTTTTAGGATGCACTCTGTCAGAGGAAAGGGGCTGAATGAAGCCAAGCTTTTCCTTTTATGGCCTAATTCTCATTAAGGAGAGTTTATTTGCTGAGTGTGGGTCATTACCTATGGTAATAGCCTATTATCAACCCACTGACACTTAGACAAGGGAGTTTGCTCAAGGTTCAGTGGCTCATAAACACTGAACTGGCAAGGGCTTTCAGAGTAACAAACTCATGTTTAGAATGGCATGAGATCAGAAGTAACTTAAAAGAAACATGTTTGTTCTGTTGTAAACAGAGAAGAAAAAAGCACAGCAGTATTCTTGTTACATTTGTATTTATGTGGAGTATATTTTACTATAAGATTGAGATAAATACAAACCTTATTCTGTTTTAGGTCAATTAGGATTACCAAATAAATTTTTTATCTGCTAAATGCCAAAATGAAAGAAATCTTTTCAAATAGCTTTTTTTCTTTTATTTAATGCAAAGTAAAACATTTTGTACACTTGAGTATAATGTTTTGGGTCACAAATTTGACAAATGTCTTAAATTAATTTGCTGGCATTTCAACAGTTTCTTCCAGTAAGAAATAGTGTTGTGCGGATCCCATTTTTTGGCCCCGATACTTGGCTGTGCAGTACTGGCAGATACCGATACAATCTGTTTGAAATTGATGTGTGTGTGTATATATGAAGAACTGCATACTACTTGGATGTAAAATTGTTGCCATCATGGCTTTGTCAAGCTGCTGCTACCTTTGTGAAGCAGGAAAAAGACTAATACAAAGTGAATCCAGTAGAACTTTTTATTGCCTAACCGCAATGGGTGACAATAGTTGAATAAACTTTTGGCTCTCAAAATAGTATCGGTGCCCTATTTGTTTGTACTCGCCGATACTGATACCACCATCTTAGTGCTGGATCGGGGCCCTGCTCGATACCGGTATCGGTGCAACACTAGTAAAAAACACTATAACTGAATAATGTTTGTTGGCCAGCTAAAAACTTCGTAACACGTTTTTTTTGGAATGCAGCAGCCTTGTAAATCAGGTGATATTTGTGCCCAACTTTTAACTCTCTAGCTGATGCTTTTTAAGATGTTTCCACATACTGTTCTTTTCTGATCTAATATATTTAGGAAGTAGACCTCAACATCAAATAAAGAAAATGCCAGTTCTTGTTTGCTGATTTAATGAGGGTCTCCTCTGGAGCTTCCCAAAGTGATATAACTAGATAAGTTTCCTTAATATCACAATAAGGTGAAGTCAGATGAAGTGGCAAAATGTGACACTATTTTTAATAACAAGCTGAGACATGTGCTACTTAGTGGCATAGTGGGTAGCACTGCTACCTTGCAGCAAGAAGGTTCAGGGATCTGTAACAGTTGTAATTGTGTACTGTCTCTTTAAGATAGTGTAGTATTGCTACACGCCACTGCTTCTCTGTAGAGAGACATGATGCAGAGAGATACAGGTACTCAGACGGACATATTAACTACCTATTTTTCTTTGAAACATTAGGGGTTGTTTGGACTCTGCTCATTTCTTCATTTGTGAGAATATAGCAACTGTTTAACCAGGCTTTGTAAGGTTGTTGGAGAGTGTGTGTTTTATTCAAAAATGACAATGCGGAATTCCCAATACCACTGTGGCTGTGAGTTTTTGACCGCCCTCTCCTTCCTTAAACACAACCCTAAGCGCTACAGTTTGATTCCTAACCCGGGGTCTTTCTGCATGCAGTGTGCATGTTTTCCCTGTGCATGCGTGGGTTCTTTCTGGGTACTCTGGCTACCTCCCACAGTCCAAAAACATGACTGTTAGGTTAACTGGCTTCTCTAAATTCTCCTTAGGAGGGAGGGCTGGCTGGCTGTTTGTCCTGTTTGTCTCTGTGTTGCCCTGCAATGGACTCGCGACCTGTCCAGTGTGGACCCCGCCTCTCACCAGTAGAAGATGGGCACTGGCACCCCTCGCAACCCCAGCAGGGATAAGCGTAACAGAAAGTGGATGGATGGAAGCTGAGACATGTCCTTGTTTTATTCAGAAAGAAAAACAATTTCTTATATCTACTTTTCTTATCGACTATCGGAGGATCAATGCTGTACTGTATTCTGCCATAATATTCTTATCAGTGCATCTCAGATTCTCCCAGCAATTCCATTATTTTCAGCATTTCATTAAAGTTTCTTTCACTCTGGTGCAGCAACGTTTTTTTAAGCACCACCTGACTCATCTGACATTTAAATAGGGAGAACAAAAAATCCTGACTGTACCAGGTTTAAAAAAAATTAAAGCTAAAATACCTGCAAAACATTTCAAGGTTGCATGACATAAGGTATTTTGTTTTGGGGAATTAAAATGAAACTGTTAGATAGTCATCACTAATTACCCAAAAGGACAAAGAATTAATCATCTATCAGCACTGATAAATTGCCATCACATCCTGCAACCTTTGATTTGCATTACCTGTGTAGAAATACGTATCATCTAAGGGTGGTCAATTTTTTTCATTAAATGGTCACTTATGATCCTCATTATATTTAATCTCTACATCTGTTTTTATTTATTTTGTTTTGTATATTTGTAATTTGTTGCTTATTTTTACAAAATAAAACCTGAAAAAAAATATATATATGATCTTAAAAGAGTATAAGAGAATTGAAAGAAAATAAGAGCTTCTGTATGATGATAAAGATATGACAGGGTTCAAGCAATGTTTTTAAAGACATGTCTTTGAAGACATTAGCAAACTGGATTTACAGATGATTGAATGGCTGCTTCACTGTTTTGTATAATGTATCTGAGAATGATTGTGATAGTCCATGGCAAAACCATTAACCAGTTTACCCAGGGTTGTTTTTAGTTATTTACAAAGCCGGAAGGATTTGATTCTAAAGCTTCAGTTGTGGTTGGTGCATGTTTCCACTCGGAAATGAGTCAAGCAGGGAAAATGTCTGCAGCTTTTCTGTCTCTACCTAATATTCAGTAGGACTCGGAGGGTCTAATCAAAATTTTTACTGCCAATCCAGATACTGTTTATTCATGAGGGCTGATCACTGCCGATCACACAGATATGCTGTTTTCATTTTATTCATGTATTTTTTTTTCTTTAGGTATAGATACTATTGGGAATGTGATTTGGTGACAGGGAACCATAAAATCATGTTTTTTATACAAAAAATACAAAAACCCTACAGGCACAATTCAGCATGTTTTCAGTGAAAAGGACAAATAAAACCTTATAACAGTTATACAATATTGAAAACAGCTATACAATTATACAGATTGTCAAATACATTTCACAACACTGTAAATAATGTCAATTAAAAAAGGAAACAACTGTGTTTTATTTTTTGGCTAACATACCCATCCAGGCGAGTGTCAACAACTGTGAGCAGCTTTGCCTGCTGTCTAATCCGTTCCTCTTGTTTATCCTGCAGTGAGCCTCAATAACTCACAATACATAAATTGTTTTTTAAATGTTGCATTTCATTTGTTGTGTTGATACATTTTTTCATGCTACACCAGCATAACATTTTCCCATGCAACACAAAAACTTCACATTACTTTAAAAGCACTAAAGCTCCACTGGAACATGCTTTGGATTTGCTCCTGCGTGGTTGTGGAGTGGAAGAAACGGGGGAGATATGCTGCACATAGGGGCTGCAAAGTAAGAGATATGGTTGATATTTTTTTGTGATTGGTAACAAAAAACAGTGAACTTGATTTACAATCATATACTTTGTCATGAAAATCGGTGAACTGTGTTCAGAGGCCGATCTCTGAACACCAAAATTCTGGAGGCATTCCCAGTCAAGTTAACATCTTCATTATCAGGTTGTTCAGCTTCATTATTCTGATGCCTTTACCCTATCTGATGATGGTAGAGACTACACTCTCCATAACAGACTTATAGGGAAGAACACTTTGAGCATAGAGGAGGTAAATTAGTGTTAAATTGGAGAAGAAATAACCATGGGTGTGTTTTTTTGTTGTTTCTGTTTTTTCTCAGAAGGTTTTTCTTGAAATGGAAGCGACAGCTGTTTTATGTTGTTTTAGACAACATGACCTATGAAAGCTCCACTCTGGGTTATCCACACCCTGTGATCCGTGCAGTTTTACAGAAAGGATCACAGAGCAGCTGCACAGATCTTCACAGAGCTGGAAGCTACTGCATACAGCAGAGTTCATCTTTGATGGTGGTCTTCTTCCTTTTTATGATCTACATCACCTGGCACTATATTGCCAGAGGATTAATGTCATCCTCTATGAAGGTTTTGAGTTTGGTGGATTTGGAGACAAGGTTTACTATACTGTTGATATTTTATTCTGTCATAATGGTATATTTTTAGACAAAGCACTAAAGAAGCATCATGATTACCGTTGGGTTGGCAAGCATCCGGTATATATTTGAATTATCCATTTGAAATGCAGCAGTGCTGCATGAACAAAGCCGGTTTTATTAATCCGTTGGTGGCAATAACAAGACCAAAACTTATTTAATAACTCTTGTATTGCTCTGTTTAGCAGGAACTCAAAACAAGTGTTATTTCCAAAATGTTGCAACCTCTTTTTTTTTCTTCTTTTCTTTTT